AGAACGATACGAGGTCTTCGGTTGATATTTGGCAGATTTCATGGAACTGTAGAATTTTGACAGTGGGGGGTGGCGCAACCATTGATCAGAGCACTACTGAAAGAAGCTAATAGCCATATGCTCTTCTTGTATAATTAATAGGTTAGATACCACAATTTTGGCTTCAATATTTGTTTGTTCATCGCTAGCCCTCATGGTTAGTGATTAATTTTGGAGGTTACCGAGTGAAAGTAAAATTAAAGTCAATGAACTACATGATAAGCAATCATGTATTGCAAGCCATATGAACAGAATGACTTTTGTTGTTCAAGGCTATTTTGAAAACTAAAACGATAGCAATCCACTTTCCTTTTCTTTTCTTAGTTTAAAGAAGTAGATATTAGCAGTATAAGATTACAAATAGGATTGAATGCGCGACTTTTCGCGGGCTCTTGTGTCATTAAGTTATATGACCATTGGAATCAAGCATAATTTTTCAAGTCTGAAAAGAATTGCTCGGCTGGAAATTAAGTATTTTCTGACGGTGTACCTTTACAGCGAGCTCAGTGGATTTGTAGATCCAGATGCTTTTCAATAATGGAAGAATAAAGCGTAGAGGAAAAGGGGAAAAAGATTGTCAGACTTGTTTGTCCAGGTTAGATAGTGTTGTTGCACGGAGTTTAAAATAAATTACTACTTCTGGTCCTTAATATAAAACCTTGTTAGATTTTTATTTTGGTTTTAGATATAAAACTCCAATTCATTTTGTCTCTTATAGTTATGTATTTTTTTCTAAGATAGTCCTTTTAATAATAGTAGTTTTAATTAATATACTTGATTAGTAAAGATATTTTAAGAAAGACAACATCTATTTATTACAAATAACTAACTTAACTTATTTCCTTAATCTCTTTAAATTAGTCAATTAAGTCTTATAATTAGAACGGAAGGTAGTATATTGTTAGTGACTTATAAATATGTTTTGATATATTATGATTTTAAATATAAAACCTATTTTATAATGCATCTCTTATATTTATGACAGTATATTAAATAAAATAGTGATTGGATTTTTGTTTGGCAACTTCACTCGTTCAGTGGAAAGCTTGATTTTGGAAACACGAGATATGACTTGACCTGTGGGGGTTTGTTTGGAATTGGAATTGGAGGTTTTAATTTTTAAAAGCAGCTTCTTAAATTACAAATTAACTATATACAAAATAAATATATGTAAAAAAGTTTTGTTTTGATTTATATAAACAGTTTTAAAGAAGCGAGCGGGACTTTCTTTCTGGCTTTCAGGTCAAAATCATCCTGCAAAAAGCTTGGCATGAGCGAAATTGCAGTCATCTTTGAATGTTTCTTTTTCGTTTCTGAGAAGCGTCGGCAACGAACATTTTCACTGTAACTAATAGAATTAGAGACTGAGGGGGGGAAAAAAAACAAAGGCACCGAACATTTTGTGGAAGAGAAAATCCAAGCGAAAAAGAAAAACAGAAAATAAGGAATGGAAATTGAAAAGTAAATAATTGAGAATCTTGTGGATAAAAACAAAGTTCTTTATGGGTGATTGCGACAAAGATCATGAAATCAAAAGAGGTGAGAAGTGAGCAGTGGCAAAGACGAATGATGGATCACGAAAAGGGAAACCCACGTATGCGTTCAGACGGAAAGTAGGCCCATAATTGTCGCGAAACGCCTCTCCTTTTTTAACACAAAAATTACCAACCAGGGTTGGAAAATGACTAGTCCCTCTTAAAAAAATAAAAAATACTTAGAAGCGCCGACGTTTTTTTTTTCCCCTAAAACGAGACAAACTCCTTTATATATTTACTTCATACACTATAAAATATTTTTAAAACTATAGTTTTCATATGACAAAATAAGGTTCAAATTTTTATTGAAAGAGATGCCCATACTGTACTTTCTTTTAGTTTAAAACCAATATTAAATAATTATATTAAAAATCAACCAACAAGTATTTAGTTGATATGGTAAGCAACCTCAGCCTTTTAATAAGAAAAACATAAATTTAAATTTCAAAAAACATATTTATTAAAAGAGACTAGGACTCCTTGATTAAATCAAGAGAAAAAATCAATCAACATCAACATAGTATTCATTGAAAACAGCACATCTAGACAAAAAGATAAGTATTTAATTTATAAAAGATTTATTACCAATTATTTAATGAAGTTGGTTGTTACTAGCTATACTCTTTATAATAAGCTGTGACTGTTGGCAAAATGATAATAATAATAATAAGTGGGGACTTGGGACTAACGTGGCTTGCTTTAATTTTGTGGAGCATAGCTGAGAATACATGAATAATTAATTAAAAAAATAGTAATCAACATCAATGTATTCTCACGAAGTTATAAAATCAGAGATTGACGTTGGATTAGGCATAAATGAACGGGGCATAAAAGTCAATAACTCGTTAATGTGATAAGCATATAGCGTGCGCCTGCGTGTCATCATACAAAATTCTCCTAAATTTTAAATCGTGTAAAATAAACTTCTTTAATCTTTAAAATTTAATTGTATGATGTAAGATTTTAAGATATTTATTGTAAATTTTTAAATGTTACGAAAATTATCTATACATGATCCAAAATTTAAGAAAAATCATGTAAAATTCAATATTTAATCTATACACACACACACGCAACCAATCTCAGTAGCAGTGGAACTTCGCCATGAAAATATAGTTTTAATAAGTTAGATTTAAAATATCGAACTAATAAATTTTAAAATAAAAAGTATTTTTTAGGATAACTATTAAAAGATAATTTTTATTTTAAATTCTATACGCATTAAAATATTAAATCATCAAGAATATAAAAATATTCTCATAATAAAAGAATATAAAAATAAAATTATATTAAATCTAGATTTTAAACAATTCAGACGGTTCAAATTTAACGCTCAGTGCACAAGAGATGGGCACACAAACTAAATTTACGTAAACACTGGATTGAGCAAACATGTGTTGGCCTTGATAAAAGTTGTTTTAACCGTTTACGTACAATGTATTCACTGTTAAAGGGGTGTTTTGGTAAAAATTAAATTATAATTTTAAAAATATTTTTATAATATACGAAATAAATATATAAAGGAGTTTGATTCGTTTTGTGAAAAAAATACTTTTTAAAAATATTTTTAATCGTTGCCAAATACCCCAGATTAAAGATTGTCAGAATACCATAAGAATTGTCCTCAATTGAAATTATTTATGTTATAATTCACAAAAACACGAAACAAATATGTAAAAAATTCTATCCTTTTTTTTTAAAAAAATTTATCTCAATTACCTGCCTACAAGCATTCAACACTTAAATGCGTAGTTAAAGATGAAAAAGTTGGGACAGATAAGATCAGAAGAAAAAGAAGAGGGGCACGTTGTCAAACTCAAAAAAGGAAAAGCAGAAGGCAGGCACTGACGCGCCAGCACCACCCGTTCATTCCCTTCCTTTTTCCAGATCATTCAGATTTCAAAGCATCACGTTTCCTTCTCTTCTTTGTTTTTTTTTTTTAAATAACCCCTGCGCTTATCACCACTAGAACGGGTTAGCAGGCTGGTCCAGTTTTTTTATTATTATTTTTAAAAAATTTTCCCACCCTCAAATATAATTATGTTTACTCTTTTAGTTTTTTATTTCATTCTTATTATTTAAAATTACCATAATGTAATATATTTTACTTTATATTATGAACTTTACTTATAACGAAGTTAGTTGAGCAAAAAGAAGGTGATTATAATTATGAAACTTAACGAAATAATTTCACATCTTTTTATCATTCTTCAAATTATATCAACATTGAATAGTCATTTATGGTTGAATATTTGATAGTGATTTGTAACATTGCGTTTGCATTATTGTTAATTTAGATTTGTTATGTTTTAATTTGGGATGTATGTTTAATCATTTAGGATGATAAATCATGTATGCTTATAGTAGTATTTTGAAATGTTTGGAACTTTGAATTTCATATTTTATTTATGATAATTTCTATATGTATATTTTATTTTAGGTGTTTAAAAATTAAAATAAATTCTATTAAAAAAAACAGAAGGCACAAAAAAATTACAAAAAAAGTGACGGGTTGGCTGGCCTAACCCGCTAACCCACCTTGGGAGGTTGGGTTGGAAAAATCTCAGCTCACCAGAAGTTGGTCTTTTTAGGACAGGCTCGTCGGTCTTTAAGCCCATCACGAGCCAACTCATAATTAGTGGGTTGGTCCATATTACCAACTCTAATCACTACCGTACTGAAACACTATTTTACCCCATAATTAATGTCAAGAACATTTTATGAAAATGTTTTGGATTCTAAATTTATGCTAAAAACAGTTCACCGCTGATAGCATTGTCGTGTGCATAGTTAGATGTCTTTAATTTAAAATTAAAAATATGTTATTAAAATTTCAAAAGGCTAATTTATTTTCACGTATAATCTAACATTTTTAACAAACAATACTGTGAATTATAAATAATGATATTTTTAAATAAAAATTCCAGGACTAAAAACTCATATAAAATTAAAAAATTAAATATATACTTTAATCAAAATCTTTCAAAGTGGTTGATAATACTTTGAAATTTTAAGTACCATTAAAAAGTTTACTTTTCAAATATTAAATAAAAAGCAAATTAGACCCAAAGATGTTTGGATTAGTTTATAAGTGTTTTTTAAAAATATTTTTTTACAAATCAAAATAAATTTTTTATATATTTACTTCGTAAACCGTTACTTCTGAAATCATGTTTTGTTACTGTCTCAACACTGTCTGAGTACCACCGAAGAAAGTGTGATGTAACTCATCTTTATTTTAAAGGCAGATTAAACACTTAAATTAAAATTAGAATTAAAAAGTAGGCTCCATGCTATGATGGCGCTGTTTTCGTCCGCTTTCAGAAAATAGGATCCTGCTGTTTCATAATGCCACCCTTCGCTATTTAAACACCACTCTGCTTTGCCTGCTTCTTCATCTTCATCTTTGATTCATATACTCTCTCTCTCTCTCTCTCTCTCTCTCTCTCTCTCTTTGTCTTTCATATTTCTCAGGCATGGCTAGGTCTCAGCCTCTAGCTTCCACCATGTTCGTCCTCCTTCTCCTTCTCGTCGCCACTGGTTCGTATCTCCCTACTCTTTCTTCATCCGACCCTTATATTTTGGTTCTACCGTGTTCCGCATGTTCTGCTTTTGCTGAATGGAAACGCACAGATTCCACTTTCTTCAAATCTTTTTCCTCTGTGATCTGTTATCACTGCTGATAGATGATTCCGTTGTTGTGTTGTGATGATCAGAGATGGGGCCGATGATGGCAGAAGCGAGGACGTGCGAGTCTCAGAGCCACCGCTTCAGGGGAGCCTGTGTCAGCAAATCTAACTGCGCCAACGTTTGTCGGACTGAGGGATTCCCCGGCGGCCACTGCCGCGGCTTCCGACGACGCTGCTTCTGCACCCGACCTTGTTGATCCGTCAACTTTAATTTCACTCTCAAGTTGCGCCGTTCGTGCATGTTTGAGAATAATGCTTTTGAGTCTTTCTGAGATGCTTCATTTGCTTTGTCTGTGTCTTTAATTTCTGTGTGTTAGAGGTTCTCATTTTCCTGGGTTTAGGTGAAGAAAGAATGGCTCGTGGTGTGAAAGTGATCAAGCAATAAACCGACTCTTTCATTGATTTGCTTTCCTACCTTTTGCGAAGTTACCATTACTGGTAATAATATTACTATCAACGTTAATACTAACTCCGGTCCTAATTATAAAAACCAGTTAATTAATTTAGGGAGATTAAGAAAGTAAGTTGAATTAATTATTTGTTCTAAATAGGTGTTGTCTTTCTTTAAATATCCTTGCTAATCAAATGTGTTAACTAAAGCTATTATTGTTAGAAGGGCTATTTTGAAAATGTATATATAAATATAAAAGACAAAGTGGATTGGTGTCTTATATTTAGAATCAAAATAAAAGTTAAACAGGATTTTATATTAAGAACAGGACAGGAGGTAGTATAATTTTTGGTTTTAAATTTAAGTTTATTTTAGTTTTAGGGGAATATTTTGGTTTGACTCCTTATAATTTAGTCATCTTGGTGCTAAATTTTCTGCCACGAACGGGTTAAAGTGGTAACGTGAATTTATCATATGATTCCTAGTTAAATTTTGTGTGGCTAACAAAATAAAAAGATAAAGCAGGTCCTTAACATGTCTTAAATCGTAATTGTCTAGCCACTTTTTTCTTGTCGTTAGTTCAATGGGCTGTTTGCTGTATTACGTTGAGAGAACTTATTTCCCTCTTTGAGGATCTACTTCTTTTATTATCTACACAATATTCAATTACTGTGTGTCATTTATTAAATCATATAATTATATTAATTCCTATTATTACTTCGCTTTTCGTCTAACTTCAGTTTCCGGCTCAAAACGGCTTAAGAACATAACCGGTCCAAACGTGGGCTACGTGTCCTTAGAAAGAAAGGAAAAAATTTACTAAAAAAATCTCGTAATAACTCAGTATCATTAGAATTTTTTTTATAATTATATTTTATTGTGGATCTCATGGTAATGTTACCCTGTTACTGTCATCACCAGAAATCATGACTCATGACCACAAAATATTGCGCTATTGTCCATTCGCCGTCGGTGGATGACCAACGATATCTTCTGTGAAAGCCAAATCTTTGTAACCCTACCGTTCACGTGTCATCCGGTCCCTTTTCCTTTTTTCTCCCAGTAATCATTAAAGCATCATAAATCATTGAGAAAATTGAAAAAAACAAAAAACTCAACATGACAAGTCATGATACCACTTTTTCCCCAATTTGATCCTCGCAGAGCATCTATTTCTCTTCTCGCAAATCCATATTCACATTTCACAGTACTGTAAAAGTCTGATCCAAAACAACATCATAATTTCTGACTGTGAAAAGGACAATAATACAGCTGCAAAGAGCAGGAAGCGCCAGCAGGAACAGTGGGGTCGGTCAAGGAGTGGAGCGTCTTCAGAAACGACGTCGTTTCAGAATACGAACATCTTTGCTCTTGGGCGCGCGTGCCGGTCCAAGAGATATCATGATCAGATCCACTTATAGAATTAATCGTGTTTGCTAGAAGAGATCTACTCCTTGTAATTAGTATGGTAATTAGTATAAAAATTAGTTAATTAGTTTGATTATATTAAAAAAATTTTTTGAATTTATATCTATTTTTCTTAAAAAAAAAAAACTCCATTTCTCCTCAAGATTTTACTTGTCGGCAACGTGGGACCGAGCGCGGTTAAATGCGTCGGGCAGGATCTGATCGCACGGGCACGAAGACAAACTTCTACGGATCCAATCGGCCCACAGTTGGAGAAATGGGAGAACTGAGAAGCGCTGAGCAATCATTCAAAATTTGAATCAGAATTCAGAATAGAATATAAATACATACTACTACCTCATTCTGATTATAAAACTTTATTTATTTATAAAATATAAATAAAATCTTATAATTAAAATTAGAAATAATATTTCTAATGTTTAATATAAAATTTAGTTAATTGATATAAATTAAAGAAGTTAGTTAAATTAGTTATTTATTTTAAAATATTTTTACTAAGTGTACAAGTTAAAACTACAATTTGATAAAATTTTTAATATGTACAACTACTATAAGAGCTATATTAAAAAATAGATAAATATAAGAGACAAAATAAATTAGGATCTTATATTAGAGAACCAATTAAAAGTCAAACTAGCTCTTTTATTATGGATCGATAATAATAAAAAATTATTTATTGTAGACTATAAATAAAAAACATAATTTATTAACAGGATTATAAAAGCATGAGTAAACTGCTTTAGCTTGTTGTGTCACAAACCAGCTTCTTCCATTTCACTTCTACCCGCTTCCTCTCAATTTGCAAGTTTTGATTCGTTTAGTTATATTAATTTTTAGTGATTTAAACTTATTTATTTTTAAATTTTGATATGGAAATAAAATTTTTATACAATTTCAAAGTGTCATATTTAAATATTTTATTCAATACATAAATCGTGCAACAGAGAGGAAGAAAGGAGGAGACCCTGCTGGCTGAGGCTGTCCTAACTTAACCACAGGTCTCGAGTTCGAGCTGTGGGAATGCAGCATCCTGAGGGGCCAGAGGGCGCCGACCGAAAGGTTCCTTGCAAGCCCTCGATCCGGATTAGTCTGGGGACGTTGTCACGGCTGAAAGACGCCTATTTCCCTGGGATACCGGAGGAGAAATCCAAAAAAAGGAGGAGACCCTATATAGAGAACCTAATATACACACACATATTTCTCATAGGCATGTTCCAGATAATGTTGAATGTTGAATGGTATTTGGGTAAAAATAAAATATAATTTTAAAAATAATTTATGATATACAAAATAAATATATGAAAAAAAATTTATCTTAACTTGCGTGAAAACATTTTTTAAATCTATTTTCGAGTGTAACCAAACACCCTCTTAATATTTGGAAACCTAAAAAGCACTTTTAAAAGGTATTTTTATTCAAATCGAAATAAAACTTTTATCACATATTTATTTTTTTATATAGTAAAATCACTTTTAAAATTATGGATAATTTTTGTCCACCCTGATAGTTCAAACTTTTGAGAAATAAACTATTCTTGTAATGAGTAGAGATAATTATATTCCTCTCATCCTAGATATAAGAGTCACCCTCTACCGTAAAAGCAATATATTTGGGGGGGGGGGACCAAAACATGGACGTAGACCCCGCCAAAACAACGACGATGTTGTTATTGTTTTCATCTGTTTTTCACCACCCTAACTTCGCTATTTAAGACCACCACGTCGCCTCTTTGTATTGCGTTCTAAGGCCCTTCCTTTCATATTCTCAGACATGGCGAAATCTGTGCCTCTTTTTCCACCATTTTCGTCCTCCTTCTCCTTTTGGTCGCCACTGGTACGTATCTCTTGGCCACTTCTTCCTCTAACCAGTATTTCTGTACGTATGTCTTGCTTGTCCAAGCAGAAAAAGATTAAGAGTTTGTTACGTTTAAAAAACAAAATGCTATCTCTTTGATCTGTAACGCTGCTGTTTTTGTGTTATGTGTTGATCAGAAATGGGGCCGATGGCGGCAGAAGCAAGGACGTGCGAGTCTCAGAGCCACCGCTTCAAGGGGACCTGTCTGAGCAAATCTAACTGCCCTCCGTTTGCCAGACCGAGGGCTTCCCCGACGGCCACTGCAGTGGCTTCCGTCGCCGTTGCTTCTGCGACAAACCATGTTAGGGAGGGGGTCCACTATCTGTCGTGTTTGTGCTTGCAAAATAATGTTATTGACCCTTTCAGTAACTGTAACGTTTCGCTCATCATTTGTCTAGTCTTTGGTTCCTGCGTGTTGGAAGGTTCTTAGGTGAAGAATGGCTGATGCTGTGAAAGTGATATGAATAACAATGGACTCCTTTGTTCATTCTCGTTCTCCTTTTGCTTCTACTTTATGCATAATTAACGGATTATTCATCTGTGGATATGCCTTCACGTGCATCTTAAGCAACCGTCCTTCGGCAATTTTTAACCATTATTTTAAATCAGAGCCTTTCCACAAGTTCATGTCCTAAGGCAGTTGAAGACCTCAGTGATCCGTTCTGGCTAAACAAGTCATCCTTTCATATGCTTGACTATTTTTTCCTCTTGTTCCTAGTTTTTTCTCTCGTTTTGGAACTGGAAACTGGGCATCATCCGGAATGAAACTTAATCAAAGATTTCATTACCCCAGATTTTTATGCTGCAAGAAGACCCCTTTCTGTAGCTTCATTTCCATCCAACTCCTCTTTGGAGTCTGAGATTTCTTCCTCGGCGATGCTCCAAGGAAGGGCCTGTTAGGCATGCCCAAGGTTTCATGTGCCATAATTTCTCTACGCCGTTTCCAGCTGCTCCCTCGACAAGGCTTCCGCCGTCGGCCCCCGTCGCCGCCTCCAACGGCTTCCCGTCCGACGTCCTCCTGGACGACTCCGTTATCGTCGTCGTCGTCGTCTACGTCCCGCTTCCAAGCAGATATCACGTGCATGTCCGTCCTTGTTACTCAGAAAAAGCTGTAATTGCTGCTACTGCTCCAGAAGCCTGTGGGCCCTTTCATTTATAGAAGGAACATGAAAAAAATTGAATCATGAAAAAATAATGTCTAAAATAGTAAAATTGTTACTTTAAGTGGTAGTCAAGTTTATTATCTTGTCTTTTTTTCTTCTTTTTTCCCTCATTTTCATGTGATGGACCATCCTTCCTTAATTATTCAAGGGTAGCATTGGGTAAGAATAATGCAGTAAATCCTTTATTGGCAGTGTAAAACATCAGTCAAATTGAAAGAGTCGAATTGTCAAGTGTCAACCCAACACTCAGGCCCCGTATCCTATAACATGAAGGAGGAAAAGGGGAAGCACAGAAGGCATATGTGAGCAAAGCTGCTGCCTAGAATGAACACTTTAAAAATTTAAGAACAAAAGAATACAAGCACATTTTAAAACTAGAATTCATATAATACATGAAAACATTTATCATTTAACTTTCTTGCTGTCATCAGGCTTAATAAGCTGGACAGGAGCTGCTGGTATCCTTACCCACCATTCTTTAACCCGCCTGATCCACCTCTCACTACTTTGTTTCCTACAAGGCATCTCCCTCGTGTATAACTCTACAAACACCACCAAAATTATGTGTCTGAGAGGAATAAAAGCTATCGCTGCAGCCATGAAAACCAGCAACAATGCAACCTTCTCCGTAGCCTAAAGGACAAACGGATAATTTAGGGTGAGAGGGAATTCCTCCTGTGAAAACATGTGTGCATTACAAAAACTCCCATCATTTAATCACGCATCTTATGATAGAGCTGAATCAATAGGCTTTATGAGAAAATAAAAAAGCAAGTCCAAGAATTATGACATCAATTATGGAACAAGTATTCCTTTACAATCATTCTTCACATATGATGCAGTAAGATTGACATTCAGATTTTTTGTTTCGGTGCCAAATAAGAGATTCAGGTACATCATGGTTGTATTAACATATTTCTTTTAGATGTGTAATGGTTACTTGGATAGAAAGGTTAACTGTTCTAATCGAGATTATTTCAAGTCTGATTTCCAAATTCTCCCTCTTTCTCCATGCTGAGGACATGTTAGTTGGATTACCACAGTTATCATTTTTTTTTGGGGGGGGGGTCCCGTACCCATGTACTAGAAAAAAGCTTCTTCATTCAAAGTAGATTTGCACAATGCAGCCCAAATTAAGCATAGGCTATGCACATTGAGATATAGCACAAACCTATATTAAAATGCACACTGTCTATCCATCATTTTAATATTCGCCCTATGGAAATGGACTATGACTAGGATACTCACTTGCGGTAATAAAGCGAGTAGCAGAGCTCTTATTTTCAGGAGAGTAATATTTCCAGCTTGAACAAGTGATTCAGCTTGGGCGATGGCTTCCTGTAATTGTAATAGTTGTTCTACTGCATTTCGATTTGGGGGAGAAGTTACTGTAAAAGCTCCTATTTGTCTTCCACTGTTGAAATGCCTACGCCAGAGCATCAGACTTGCAAAGAACACTAAAATCGACGGCAATATGTACCGGATCCACCCCCTGTACAATGGAAGGCAAGTTTAACCCAAGAATATCATTATTTAAAGTCATCGCTGCTTCATCATGGGGCCAGTGAACATTTTGAATGAAGTTAAAGCACTGCAAGTTATTCAATTTACCATTAACTATAGAAACCATACAGGAGTTTCAGGTAGTGACTTCCAGAATATTGGGTAACCATGCTAAGGTACAACAGTTCATAATACAGATCCACTTTTCGGTAGTGACTATACTATTAAAAATCAAGAAGTAAAATAAATGACAATGAAAGATCAACCAAAGTTGTCAAAGGCACTTGCTCGCACCAAAAATGCTCATCACCTCTCATAGTGGGAAGGCAACGCCCTCAGTCAGGCGCCAAAAGGTGCTTGACTTTGGGGCCTCTTCGGACAATCTATTGTGGCAATCTATTGACCCTGGTCGCTCTCTCTCTAAAGACTTCACGGTGCTTTCACCCCGGGAAAAAGGACCTTGCGGTACGTACTTTAATTCATTTGGCATACTAGAAGCCGCTGCTATTCTTCGAATGATAAACCACCATTAACTACGACATACGCTAAGCAGCTATTAGGCTGCCTTGCTTGCACCCATCTTAAAAACAACCTTCACATATATCCATTTTTATGAGGTCACTTGCGATGAGTACCTTCAATATGAAAAACCACCTTATAAAAATATTCAAAATCAGCACGGGCTCGTGTCAAAACAGAATGTTACCACATTGAAAAAAAATACATTTCTAAACTGGACCCCGACAATTTTCAACGACAAAATATTTTTGTGATGTAGATCAGATTGACATTTCTATCAAAGGCAACCAACAAACACACATTCTTTTATGTAATCATGCTCACATATGCTGGAATTCCAAGAAAACAATTACCATAAAATCACGTAACAGGAGAGTAACAAAAATGATCCTGATCTATAGAAGTCTTTCCACGAGGCTAAAAATCGCAGACGACCAGCAGCTTCAATGACGGGGAATAATAGTTCCTGCAAGAAGTAGAGAGAGTTATCCATATCTAAATCAATATACTGCTTTGATTTTCTCTCATCTTCAAGAAAACACCTTATCATGAGTTCATGAGAAGCTAAACCAGTTAATGGATAACTAAACTCATAGAGCATATCTATTAGATTATATTTTCAAGGTACCAACGAGGAATTCAAACTGGGCTTGGATATTAAGAGGGAAAAAAAGAAAGAATTAATTCAGTTTTTGTTCTTATAAATACAAATTAATGCACCGCGAGCATTTTCAGTGCTGAGTTTGAAGTTCTAATTAGAGTATAACAAAAATCTTCGCAGTCTTTAGTTTGCTCTTTTCTTAATACCAGAAGTATCTGTTGTTTCCGCCAATAGAACTTTATGAAATGAAAATCAAATCAACCTTCATTACTGCAACATTTGCGTCAATGCCTTCAACCTTCACTTGCTCCACTGTTGCTTGTGCAGCTTGCGCCCTTCCTGTGTCAAGAAGGGATTTTTTCACTGCCACTTCCAATTGAGTTGTCTCACCGACCCGAACATCACCATAAACAGCTGCTTCTTCATAAATATCAGCTTCCTTCAGTGGTACGAAACCAAGACGAGCAAGTGTCAAAACAGATGCCAGGGATACCGCCTGTTGCATCTTAGTATCTATGGTACCAGAAACATGTTTATCAGCAACAGAAGTCAAATAACTAGACAGAGTTTCCAGGATGACATCTCCCCCAGGAAGAGTTTCAGCGAGGTTAAATGCAAGTAAAGTTTTATAGTGAGAAGAGAAATATTGAAAAGCATCTCTAACTGCACGATATCGGAAGATCCCCAAAATAGCCCTCGCTAGTGCTTCTGATTTCTGAATCTCTTCAAGGTTGTATTTCCTTATAAACTTATGAGCACGAAAGATCTCAAGACAAATCTCCAACCAGTAGTCACGACGCAAGTTTGCATTAAATTCGGGGAATTCGAAATAAACAGGCTCTGCTCTGTCAACACATGGAAAAGTCATGAAAGGTAAATCGAAAAGGAAGCCCGTGGTGATAACACATATTGACTACTTGTTAGTTATCTATATCACCAGATAACATACACAGAAGTTGACTTGTACATCACAGCTTTATCAAAAAGACGAGCACCAAGGGGTCCGGTCAAGTCAGGCTTTATGACCTGTTCCATATCCATTTCTAAATCATATCGAACACCTTTCTCATGCAACCCAACTCCCAGAGGCTCGAAGTACAAAGCATAATTGGTGAGGATCAATCGTCCTACAAAGTAAATAGAATACATACATACACACACACACACACACACACACATATAGATATAGGCAGTATACGATAAGCAATAAAAGCCAACCTAAACAAATAATAGTACGAAGAGAACACACTCCAGACAGGCGCTCAACTATCAAGAGCTTGAAATTGAGGCGACATGCAGCACATCATTTGAAATTACCATATAGCTGCCATGGTTATAAGCAATAAAAAGCACAGCTTGCTTTAAGCTTTGTGCGAGCACAAGGCCCACTTTCTTGGAAATGCATTTTTGTTGACTAAAATATCCCTAACATTCTTCAGTTTTCCCTCTTCCATCCCACTTTTCCCAGCTCCCTAACCTTATTTGTTTGAGCCCCCTTCAATGCCCTTTTGGGAAAGAGAAAAATGGGACGTGATGAAAGCTCTTAAAGAGAGGACAATTACAAGCTCACATGTTACCTTACCTGCTAATCAAGAAGGATTGTCTTATTGCATAAATAATGTTCTAATCAAAGATGACAACTAGACTCCTTTCGTGCGTGACAAGCAACCCATTTTGAGACTTCCAACGACTCACCAGGCCACGCAGAGATCCCTATGTGTTGCAGAACTGGTTGAGTTGGATTTGTTCCATCAAGATCAATGACAACCTCCCCATCAGCAAGCTGAAGATTCACCGTTGAAGTGTCTATCACATGTTTTGAATTCTTTATGACTCTGCATAAAGCTTCCTGTTAGAAAGAATACAAACAATAACAATCACCAATTGACACAAGATGCATTGGCATCATAAAAACAAATTTAAGTACCAGATTGTCCAAACATTTTGCTTTACCGATAATTATCAAGCCAATTATGCTATTCAAAAGTTCTTACTTGACCATAGTTGCTAAGTGCTAATAGATAGCATAAGTTGATCCTTTAAATTAAGCTAATTATATTTTTACTAAAGCTTTTGGTTAAAGGGACTTCTTGAAGAGTAATTAGCCAAATTCCAGTATGGCAGCCATCAATATAGCAAATGACATTGTCTAACACGACCCCAAAAAAAACACTGCAATAAACCAACGCTTCATCAAAGAGGGTGAATTCAGAAATTATTGACTTTGCATACATCCTAACTAAGACTGAAGTTGTGGATGTCTTAACAAAGGCCCTAGCCCAAGTAGGTTCGAAAAGCTTGGATGCAAGCTGAGGTTGATTGTTATCTGCTCCTCAGCTGGAGCGGGGAGTGTTAGCATTCAGTATACTGCAACCTTTATCTATGAAAATGCGGTCCATTGCAGCCGTGGCTTAAGCCTAGATCTTGTGCAATCTGGGTCAATTCTTTATGAAGCATTTAAGTACGGTTATTGTGTTTAATTCTCTGTTTTCCTTTTTTTTTTTTTTTTTACACCTTTCCTAGATATTTGACTGGCGCCTTGTGTACTGTTATTGTCTTCCTTTTCTTTTTTTTTTAAATCTTGTGTACTGCAAATTTTAAGACAACTTTAATACCTTAATTCCTATTATACCAAGCATCTATTCCTATAATGCATGAGAATTCCTCACATTATGATACATTAACCAAGATTGAACAATGTCATTTTCAGCATCCCACGTGGCATAATTTTGCTCAACGAAGCATGGTGTAGCAGCAAATCTAGTGACATATTAAGCGTTGCCTCTACCTTGCACAAAAAGCATCACATTTAGGGGCCCAAATAGGTCCAAGGAAGGTGTGCAGTGTGCTCAGGCTTGGGAGGTAGGGTAAGACAAAACAGGATAACTTACAGAGCATATAAGGAGAGGGTGAAGAGAGAAGGGGTCAAGTGATGGACTTGTTTAAGAGTCTTAGACTCTCAAAAGCTTGAGGTGGGCATCTTAGAAATCTTTTCCTTTCGTTTTAGCTGTGTTTTACATCATTTTGTAATTCTCTTGGCTATATTCCTCCACTACTACTGTTCAGACGGTGTAAACCAGCCTTGTGACATAAAATTTGCCAGAATTATCATTGGGTTCCAACAACTTTGGTATCAGATCAGGTTTTGATATGAGGTATGATGGCTACAAGGATTAGTGAAGAGTTGAAATCAATAGGCGTGCATATAGCAGTAATTCAGTCTATTTAATGAAGCTGGGTTATAAGTTGGATGGGTAGTAAAACAATAGCAGAAACGGCAAGTTGGACAATTTACTACGCTATCTTATTGAAGTTACAAGATGCTTATATACACAGTAGGGTCTTCAGCTTTTCCCAAAACAGAAAAAAGGTAGCGAAAGGAACATAATACAATCCATTCATCATTAAACTTAAATTAAGAGTTTATTGTTGCTAAAAAAAACTCAAATTACTTTAGAGTTCAAACTTAAAAAAATACAACCGCGCTGGAGAAAAAAGATCATACTTATCAATGCTCCTCAAGTATTTGTCATAAACAAGAAAATGAAGGCGGTGTCCTGAAGAACTCGTGAGTGCATCAAAAAGATTGTGGACAGTCATTATATCAGCGACAAGAACACAAGCAGGAGTTATACGGGCAAAGGCTTCCGGACCAACTGTCTTGTCAGCATCAACCTGATTAAGAGGAGGAAAATGAGCATTAAAGCCCATGAATCATTGGTGAAACTTGATTAGACTGGGGTGACGGTGGCAAAGAGCACCTGAAGTGCCATATTTGTGGAACTTGAATAAAATAAGGACCCCTCATCTTCATCCACCATTTCGGACTTAAAGCAAGAAGTAGTGTCCTGCAGTTGAGTAGGTCGCAGCATGGTCAGAACCCAATATGTAAGAAGTATCATGTATTAGAGGAAAATAGAGTTCTATTGCATCTTACAGATGCTAAGACAAAGAAAGAATGAACTGTCTCACATGTTGTGGCGGATCACATTCAACGTTGGGTGCCTCCCAGGCGAGCATCATGTCATAGGTCAAACGACGAAATTCCTTGTCACTTAAATAATCTTGACTTCGACTAATTTTTTCAAGTGCTTTATAGGAGCAATACTCTAAGAGATTTCTAGCATAAGTCAGAAGTTCTTTGACACCAACTGGGAGCTCAGAGTCAAAGCCATGTTGCAATTCTTCTGTGGAGACTTGAAGAATTCTACAAAAGTTGTTAAAATTTGGTGATGGCTAAAGACTAATAATTTTTGCCGAATTTTAAGCAGAAGACAAAATAAGCATATGAGTTCAGATTTCAGATGTGGCCAGGCATATCCAGAAAACAATATTCCATAGTCCTACACTCTACTAGATCTTATCTATGAGACACACTTTTGTTGATAAAAATGCTTCCAGACCATACTTTTTATTCCATTTCTACGCTTCTCTTTACTCACCGGCAACACCTGCCATTCTCTTCTGATAACCTCTGAACTGTCATAGTAATATATTAACTTCAAATATCATATTTTAATAAAGATGTGAAATATGGACAAATGCAATCCGCATTGGCCCGTATCAGCAAAATTTCAGCATTTAATGCCAGGAGTGAGTCCAAACATATTGCTCATAATTTACATTAGAGCCCATTTAACGGTCTAAATAGACTCAAAATGAAATCAAAGCACTTGATACACTGGACTGAGACTTGAACAAATAAAACTACCCATCTAAAAGTCAAAAGAGTTACTAAAGAACAGGGCTGACGAATTGCAGACTTTCAATAAAGAATTTAAGCTATCTTCTCCAGTTAGAATGATTGATGTTTCCAATATAATGCAACCATATGATCACGATAATAAAAGAGAGCTTTAAAAGAGGAGTTAATAACTCAACCAAGAGTTAAAAGTGGAAATTATCTCACTTTCGAGGGAGGATAAATTAAACTGCAAAAAAATCTCTAGGTAAGCCATAATGAACTCCGTTAGCCATTTGTCTGGTAAAATACGGCTAAATATCTATATCCATGAGATGAAGATAGGAGTAGTTAACTCATAACAGAGACTTAAATTAAGCCACTCATGAGTTTTCGCTAAAATTGGAGGATCAAAGCTCGGGGGGGAACTCTGAAGAGGTATTGCTAGAGAAGGCTAGAGAGAAGCTTAGAGGAAGTTCTGTGAAATAGTTTGCCGAAGAATCCAAAATCTGCTGCCAACCACCAAACTTCTGCTTGTCTCAAAGTAGAATCCTTTTTTTTTTTTTGGCAGGCAAAGGATAGATTTTGAGTTTTAGATTACTTAGTTTTTCTCTAAACTAGATTTCTAGATCTTCTGAAACATTGTTTTTCCAATTACGTTTTAGCATTATGCAAAATCTACCGATCTGAATTTTCCCCGATCGCCTGCTTTTAAAGAAACCAAATTTGATTAAGGAAGAAGGGAGATAAAGAGAACTAAGAACTAGGAAGGCAGCGAAATTTGCGGTAAAGTATTATAGTTTGATCATATGATTGAAGCTTTAAGAGTCAAGCCTGTGATAAAGGAAAGCACGATGAAAGTAATTTTAGAAAAGGATGTTTCATAAAGACAAAAGGACACAGAATTTAAAAACAACATGCTGATTGAAAAAAATTCAAACGAATAATAAACTGCATTTTCCCGTCATCTCTATACATTCCCTTTCCACCCAACGTTGCATATTGCATAATATATATTCTATATTCATTCTAAAGAAAAACAAGATTGAACTTTCCGATAACACGAACTCGAGTGGCAATAGAATAACATTATTCTTCCCCGTCTCGCATTGTCAAACTCACACGCTCTATCTATTCTTTTTCCCTTACTAGATGATAACATCATGCATGTTAAATGTAATCAGGCTCTGCCGTAGGCGGTTCAAGCCAGCGTCAAAATAATTTAATATATAAATGGAAAACAAAGAAGAAACAAAATGCAAAAAATCCATGTTCAAGCGCAAAAGTAGCAAGATAATACAATCACAGGTTAAGCAATGCATCAACAATACGCATGAAGTAGATATCCCCGGGAGAAAGAAGAGGAAGCAGCAAGAAGTACTTGGAACAGCGAGAGACGACGGAGTTAGCAAGGGGCGATAGCTGAGGAATGAGGTTGGGAGAATCGACATCTTCGGAAGAGGAAGACTTGTTGCTCTGGAAAATTGATTTGAAAGGCGTGCTATGATTTCCTGTGATATTCTCCCACATCACCGCCATTGCATTCTCCATTTTCTTTCGCAGCCTAACTGCCCCGCGCCAATACAGAAAACTGATTCTTTGTATTTTAATGTTTTGATCTGTGTCTCCTCCAATACGAACAGAGTTTTTTTTTTAATTTATTTTTTTAAAAGACAGAAACAAACAAACAAATCTTCTTGTTTCTGATGGGTCAAAACGGGCCACGCCATTATATTGGTTGACCCAAAATGGATCGGGTTGGTAACTAGTGGTTATTAAAAAGATGGGGGAAAAACGAATGGGTTAAGTCCAGTAAAATAGTTAGTTTCTCCTAACGTGACAAAATTTTTATTAAGAGAAGTATCTATATTTAGTAGTCGATAATATCTCGAATAGGATTGTCTCTAATAAAAAAATACTTATACTTTAACAAAAAAAATGGGAAGAAAATAACAGAGACATTTTTCAAGATTCCGTGACATGGGAAAAAAATTAAAAGTAAAATCTTTAAAAGATCGCAGGTTATGTTGTTTTTCAGAGTTAACACTTAGCATTAATAGTGATTCCCGGGTATTATTTATGTTTTTTAAAAGCTAATATTAAATTAAAAGGTTGTGACATTAAAAGAGACTCAGTTGTAAAAATAAATTGGTGACAGCCTTTAACTAATAAACGATTAGTTGAAATGGTAAGCGGTCTAATTCCGTAAGAAAGATGACACAAATTTAAATTTCAAAAAACGCACCTGTTGAGAGGGTTTTAATATTATCACTCCTACTCTAATAAAGATTATTTTTAAACCCAAAATATAGTCACAGCTTTAAAATTACTGCTGTATGCCAAATAATCAAGTAAATATAATAAAGTTGGCCAAAAAAAAAAAAGATAATAGATACAATTACAAAGCATCCAAAAGGAACTAAGGGGATGTTTGAATGTGCTTTAGAAGTACTTTTTCGTAAATCAAGACAAATTTTTTTACATATTTATTTTGTACACTATAAAAATATTTCTAAAATTATAATTTGATTTTCATCTAAATGTCCATGGAGTGGGAAATTATATTGACCTTCTGCGGTTGTTATTCTTAGAAGTCTTTAATTCAGAACCTCACATTAACACCCATGCACGTACATTAAACGCACAGAAGATCAAAGAAACTGCTTATGAAAGATCATTGACTATAGCTAGTTACCTAGGGCGATGGGATTATAAACTAATGCCCGAAGAACGATTTGGGAATGGATATAAATATATATATATATATATATATATATATATATATATATATATAGAACACCCTGCATGCTTCAGGATATTGGAAGCCACACACCCATACATGAATACTTGATTATTAGGCCTGCATAAAACTTGAAAGTGCTAATTAACCATATATAGTTAGAATGTATTGTAGATATATATATATCAATATTACTCTTTCAGTCTTAAATATAAGACCAATTTTATAATAATTATATTATAAAATGAGTCTTATATTTAGAACTGAAAGGAGTATATATTTATCTTGGGTAAGATCATGGACGGGACTTTAAAAGGAAAGAAAAGGGCAACCAGGTGTGTGAAGGGCACAAGAACTACAAGCTTTGGTACGAAAGAGCCGAGAATCTTGAGGCAGTCAGACTAGGGATTTTGCTAGACGTATATGTACAGATTCACAAACATCAACTTCCAAACTATATTTATTATTTGTGTTTGCTGGTGTGCTGAATTGAAGCTGTGTATATTTTGGACAAGTGTGAAGAAGAAAACTTTGACTACCAGTTATATCTTGTTTCAACATAACTTTTGCATTTTGTAACGTTTGTCTACTGTGGTTGATAAAAGTTAAACAAGAAGTACTGGTATTGAAGAAAATAAAAAGTATGAATGAACAAATCAGGAGGAAACTGAAGAAGGGATTATAAATGAATGATGCGCATTTGTTTAGTGAGTGTGTACAGAGTAGCGAGTAGTACTCGTCCATATTGACACAGTGGAGGCACGTGAATTGAAGCCCGACTTTACCATTACCCTTTCATACTCCCCACTTGGCACCTTTTTATTCCCAAATGCTCCAAATCATTCACCTTCACCTATTCCTCTCTTCTCTCTTCTTCTCTCTTTCACCCCTTCCTTTCTCTCTCTATCTCTCTCTGCAATAACAACAACAAATACCATTACTTTCCCTCTCTCTCTAAATCTAATCTAGTCGTGCAATAAAACCATGGCAGACCCTCCCACCACCCCAATTCCTCCACCGCCAATCTTACCGGACCCTCACCGTCAAACCCTCCATTTGCCTCTCATTCACGGAGGGGCAGCCGCGGCCGCCGCGCCGTCCTCCTCCACCACCCCTAACACCTCCTTGATCCGAGAATACCGCAAGGGTAACTGGACTATTCAGGAAACCTTGATCCTTATCACAGCCAAGAAGCTCGACGACGAGCGTAGGCTCAGAAGTTCCGGCTCAACCCCGCAAGAGCCCTCCAAACCCGGTGCTGCATGTGGTTCCGGCAGAAGTAGCGGCGAGCTGCGGTGGAAGTGGGTGGAGAACTATTGCTGGAACCATGGCTGCTTGCGAAGCCAGAACCAATGTAATGACAAGTGGGATAATTTGCTTCGTGATTATAAGAAGGTTCGTGATTACGAGTCTAGAGCCGAAGCCTCCTCCTCCGGCGACTTCCCTTCTTATTGGACCATCGATAAACACCAACGAAAAGAGCGAAATCTTCCTTCTAATATGATCTTCGAAGTGTATCAAGCCATAAGCGATGTGCTTCAGAGGAAGCACGCTCACAGAAGCAGCCCACAACCGCCATTTTCACAGCCACCTCCCGTGGCATTACTAACTTCATCACAGCCAAATCTCGTGACCGTAATACCAGCACCCCCACCCCCACCACCTCCTCCTCCGCCGCCCCCGCCTCCGCCGCAGGCCCCGGTTGGCTCTACCACTCCGGCTGTTTCAGGTAATGCAGCAATCAATGTGCAGCCTATCGCTAAGAATGCTTTTTTTCGGTCTTTATTTTATGTATTATTTGATCTATTTTTTTTCTTCCCAGTGGTGGTGTGAGTTTCGGTCAAACTTGCAGAGTCTGTGAACTCTGCCACATTTAATGGAACCCATTTACCTATTTGATTCCGTACAGTGAGTGTATGTTAATTAAAATACGTCCCACAGTTGGGAATATTTGCTTACCGTTCGATCGACCCACTAAAGAATCTCTGAGCCTATCGTGCGGTAGACGATGCGGATGTAACTTTTTTGTGGTGCAGAGCGAGACCTATTTGTGGTCTCTTACCCCACTTTGCTCGCAGCACAAAGATTCGGATATTATATAAAAAAATAATTGAGAAAATTGTGTGTAGTTTTTCTGTTTTTGTTTGTTGGTATTATTATTAAATTTTTTATTTTATGTTTCAATTATTAATTAAAAAAAGAGCTCCATAGTACAACCACACAGACTAGTGTGCAGAAGGCTCCTACCATCTCATGATTGCTTTGGATTTTGTGGGCTGTCCAAGAAAATAGATTCTAAGTTGCTTAATCCTCGTGGGTGTGATAATTAACTTGTATTTTATATTTATTTTAATACTTAAAGTGTCAAACCTAATTACCAACTCAATCCTAAGTAACGAAACCTCAAATCCAACCATTAATTAAAAATTATTATTTCATTCTTTACGTACCGATTGTACTCCCCAATAAAATCTCATGCAAATCTACACTCACTCGATCACCCCCACATTTTACTTATTTTTTTAATTGCATGCCTGGTGAGTTTCCATTTCTTTTTCTATTTTATTTCACTGTACATCCAATCATAAGCTATGCATGCTTAGGGCAAACCCTAGAGGAGGTTTCTGTTTCTGCATCGGAAGGTTTAACTCACTGGTTTATTCATTCTTGCGTCTTTGATTTGATTATGTGCAGAGAGGTCTGATTCGTCGAGCACAGAGTTTTCAACTGAAGAAGATCAGGATTCTGAATCAAAACGAAGGAAGATTCGGAATCTGGGATCTAGCATAATGCGAAGTGCGTCGGTTCTGGCCAGGGCTCTTCGGAGCTGCGAAGAGAAGAAGGAAAAGCGGCACCGGGAAATGTTGGAGTTGGAGCAACGGCGGCTTCAGATTGAGGAACGCCGGAACGAAGTTAACCGGCAAGGAATTGCGAACCTTGTGGCGGCGGTGACCAACCTCTCCGGTACTATTCAATCACTCATTTCTGATCGCCATACTGGTCAAAGATGATGAATGAAGTTGGAGTTTGGCTACATGCACATGCATGCATGCTTGCCATATTCTGCGCATTTATGTGAATTAAAAAGAAATCAAATATATAAATTCATCATATCATCGTCGCCAGCCATTCTTTCCCACATTAATTTGGTTTCGGTAGTTCTGATTCATCATCATCGTCATTTGTCAGCCTATTTAATGATCCATTAATTCTTTGATGAACATACATTTTCAAGGGACATTTTACTTGGTGATCGATTATGTAAATAATTAATTAATTAGTGATGTGTTGCATTAAGTAATTTGCTCCTTTAATTTCTCTCTAATTATCAAGGCATGTGTGTGTATTATTTTTACATTTTAATCACACGGGAGAAGGTATTATATATGGCAATGCAAATCGGAGGTTTGAATTTTCGAGATTTGAATGTTTGCTTGAAATTAAAGTATATTGTACAAGTCTCACCCTTAGCATTATTACTTTCTTTTCTTTTCAGTTCATCATCATCTGAATTATCAAAGCACACTCACCTTATCTTATGCATGCAATAATGGGGAAATAAACAATAGGTGGAAAACAACTTGTGAAACGTACTAATAACCTAAATCTAAGCCAAGCATGTTGGGCCACTTCTATATATAGTGTAATTTGTGATAAATTTACAAATTTTGAATCATATAAAATCTAATTAATCGGTCATAATATAATAACAGTACTGATTGCTAGCTACCAGAATTTAATTAGACTTAATATTGAAAATTAGTTATTGATTACTGATAACTATCTGTGATGTTAAAAAAAACATCGACAGGATGCAATATAACATTTATTATTTATGAACAATATATATAACTCATTTGTTAAACTTCAAATCATTTACAAAACTTACTTACCTCTGAGTTAGTATTAATATTGATGTTAATCGATGGATTGCATGGTACATGATTAAAGGAAGATGAGCCAAAAAACAATAACTGTTAAGAGAAAAAGGGAATCTATTATCTATCATACCTTTGTACCCTCTGGCCTCTTCCTTGTTGCATGTTATGTGTAATTACTTGTTGGCCATTGAGGATCCACTATAATTGGAAAAAGAGATAATCATAAAATATGAAGTTAATAGTTTGTTTAAAGGTTGTTATGTCCGAATGTTTGACTAATTAATTTGGAATATGACCTAATATAAAAAATGTTTTTTCATTCTATATAATAAATAGGTCATATTTTTTAATGAAATTCAATATATGTCTCATAATGTTCATGATTTCAAATGGCCTATCTTGTTAAGGTGTTTTACTATTATATATATAGATATATATATTTTTGCCAGCATTATCTATAGATATATGATATACCTGTATCATATTATTGGTCAGTCTGAATTCAAATTAAGGAGGATCTTGTAATGAAATCCCACATTTATAATGGTGAACATATATAGAATGTTTTGAAAAAAATTTTAAAAAAAGAATACAAATGTAATGATTAAATATATTTTGTATAGGATCACAATAATATACTCCTATTTATAATGCACTAAAAACATATTTCGTGGGAATCAAGAAAACACTCTTAAATTTTATTAACTCTATTTTAAAATTTAATAACTTTTTAATCTTGCCCCCTATTTAATTATACATATTTAAAAATATAATAATCTATACAATAATAAATATAAAATTTATGGTTATATAAAAAATTTTAATAAATAACTTATAAATAGAATCAAAATTTATAATTTTTTTTTTACTGTCTTGAAAATAGGATTAATAGAGTGTAAATAATTGAAGAAGCAATTTGGTTCTTGCGATAACAAGGGGAGTTAAGGGGTAGAAAGGGAAAGAACGGGAAGAAGGGGGCACCAAAGAGGAAGGGGGCTGACAAGGGTGGCAGAGAGGGGGAGGTGGGGCCAGTCAGTCAAAGGGCATTCAGTCAAATTGCTTTTGACCGCATAGTTCAAGGGGCCCCACCCACATACGCCAAACGTATGATATCCCCAAGTGCCCCTCACAGCTTCTCGTCCCATCTCTCTCTCCCCTCCCCACCTCCCCTGCCAGTACGGATTCCCAGTCCCCCTTTTTCAGGCATCTTTAACTCTCCTATCCTGCCACTTTATCACCGACATCACCCTTCCTTCCCTTATTTCCTAAGAAACAACCCCCCCCCCCCGCCAAAAACAAAAACAAAAACAATTATTAGGTTTTAAAAAATTGACCAAATCCATATCCATATAACATGGGGGGGAAAAATGTCATTTAGACGCCTAATTTTTCATAATATATCTATTTTTTATTAAAAAAATTGGTGACTAAGATCATATGAGAGGGCATCCTGTTGGATATTTAAGCACTCAATTATGTGCATATTTTCTATTGCCAACATAATTATGTGCATAAGAACATGAGATACTTATATGTGGTTTAACTAATTTTAAGTGGCTATTTAAATTAAAGTAAGCTAATTTAAATGATTTGGTATTATGCGAAGCAAGTATGTAAAATAAATTTTATCTAGTAAAACAAGTTAGCTTATTTGTCTTGATATAAGAAAATATTTTAGGTAGAAAATCAATATACTTAGAGTATTTATCTTCAATCAAATGAAAAACAAGTGAATTTTTGTAATCATTCTTTGATCCTACAATTAACTCTTTTTACATTAACACACCGAACACGTGCAGATTTCAGAAATCGGATTCTTTGAGAACTGGGCTTATTGGGCAGAGTAGGAGACGCATGTCCAACATTTGGGCTATCTTGGCTGGGCTGATACTAATATAAAATTAATGGACTAAAGTGTAACTTTGTAGAATTGTAGGCCCAAACCGAGGCCCATTTTCCAAGCCTTTTTTTTTTTTTGCTCTTTCCGGGTGAATAACTATGCAAAGTTTGAAACCCTCGCTGCCGGAGAGGGACTATCTTCTGCTTGCAGTGCCAGAGACGAACTAAGGAGCCTTTTAAATCCTGTCTTCTTTGCAAACTTGTAAGTGTAGCTTTTAGAAAGCTGATTAAGAAGACGGTGCTTGGGTTATTTAATTAAGGAGAGTGAATTCTGATTGCATTTCAGCTGTTTGACGGATTGTGGGAGATAGAGACATTTCCAGGGAGTTCTTTTTATCGTGGCTATTTAATGGCCAGGAGGTTTAAGGTTATATGTTGTTATACGATTTCTTTTATGATGACTTAGACCAATGCATGTATGTTTTTGCCGTGTGGGTGAGAGCTGTTATGACCTTTATAGTTTGTGATTATGAAGATGTCAGCTGCTCTGAATTGGATTGTCTGAGTTATTGCACTTTACTCTTGTTGGCTGTTCATGCAGGCAAATGAAGAGTAAACTTGAAACTTCTGGTTGTTCTTGTTGTTGTGACTTTTTTCATCTTGCTTTACTAAGACTGACAGCTTGCTAACAAATGTTTGCAGCTATTTTGGCTCGTTTGAACTATTCCTGCTCTGGAAAAAGGAGGGCTGGTTGTGTTGTTCAAGAAAGATTGGACAAAAAAGTTGTCTGTTGGATATGTGGTAATGTCCAGTGTGCAAATACATTGAAGTTGAAACGCTTGCTGGGCTCAGATTCTATATAAAGATTATCAGCATCCATATAGTACCTATTTATTTGTGGGAATCAAGCAACTGCTTATTTATTTGGAATCAAGCAACTGCTAAGTATTTTGCAAATGGCATTGACTGCACCAAACCCCTTTTGAGGTTGGAGGAGATACAAGGGAGAGGAAGGGGAATGGTTGCATCTCAACCTCTTCAAGCTGGCCAAGTTGTTCTCAGAGATTCTCCCATCCTTCTGTATTGTTGCCTTTGATCCCTCAATCATCATCCATCTCCTCTTCTCCAGGCTTCTGCGACCATTGTTTCAGAAAACTACCGGGGCCATCTTCCATGGGCGGTCCTTCCGCTTCCTCAGTTTTGTGCCCTTCGTGTCGCCACCATCGTTTTTGTAGCCCAGAATGTCTATCGATTGCCCAAAATACATCTCACACTTCTTGGGTATGTCAAGCATTATCTCATCTCCGAGCCAATTCTGTGCTGGTTGAACAGCCCCTTGAGTGTCAAGTCCAAGTGCATTTTCTCATTGCTGCCTACAATCTTGCCAATGTCTCCCCTTCGGCCTTTCAAACTCTGCTTTCTCTTCAAGGTTCTCCTGATGATACTACAATTGCTTTAGCTCAGTTTCTGCACCCCCTTATTACGTCACTCCAACCGTTTGCTCCAACTAGTCATCAGAATGGATTTTCCTTGGAACTCACTGCTGCCTTGTTGGCCAAGGATAAGCTCAATGCATTTGGCTTGATGCAGCCTTTCTCTGAAGATAATGACCAGAGATCTGTCAGAGCTTATGGTATATACCCTTATGCCTCTTTCTTTAACCATGATTGCCTTCCTAATGCCTGCAGATTTGATTATGTGGATACTAGTGCGACAGATGACAAACATAACACTGACATTATCATTAGGATGATTCATGATGTTCCTGAAGGTAGGGAGGTCTGTTTGAGCTATTTCCCTGTGAATGAAAATTACTCTAGAAGGCAGAAAAGACTGGCAGAAGACTATGGCTTCACCTGTAAGTGTGATCGATGCAATGTTGAAGCAAATTGGTCAGACAACGACAGTGTTGAGGATGATGCAGAGGATATTGAAGAGTCAATGGATGAGGACGAATGTGAAAATATGGCGGCCTCTGACACCGAAAGCAACCCGCAAGGAGATAACAGTGATTTTCCCCATGCATATTTCTTTTTGAAATTCATGTGTGATAGAAAGAACTGTTGGGGTACTTTAGCTCCTTTACCCCCACAGGGAAATTCTCCATCCAATGTTATGGAATGTAACGTCTGTGGCAACTTGAAGAGCGATAATGTCCTCGATGGCGATGGAGGACAAGATGGAGTTTCCATGGAGGACTGAGCACCTATGAACCCACTTTTGCTATCTCTATAGATAGTCATTTTCTTTTCATCACCTTATTTCTAACTTAGTTATTTTTGCACACTCTTTTTTCTTGTACAATTTTATATGTGGTTTGAGGAAGTTTGGTGCTGTTGAATGATGTTAGGGAATAACTGTCGAAGGCACTGGCAGGTTGTTTCAAAGTTACTTCTTTACAGAGGTTTCCGTTGAGAATGCCTGCACCGATGAGGGCGGGAAGAGGCCTTCATTCAGGGGATGGCCTAGAAGTTGATTTTAATACAGACATCAGATGCGTTCCAACATGATAGTTTTCCATTCTCTCTTCCATTCTATTTTTGGACGCAGCGTACCTACGGTCATCTCAAGCACCTCTCTCTCTCCCTCTCTCTCGCGCGCGCGCGGAGCCGTGCTCGTTTCTACCCTGCAAATTCCATAATTTGGGTTGCGTGGTCAACATTTTATCTGCAATAGAACGTACCGTATGGGTTTTATCTTATTTGAGTAGGTCAATAAACTCTCCTGCTTAAATTTAACCAATACTCTAGATCCTTTCTTTTTTTTTGGGGCGGGGGGGGGGGGGGGGGAACCAATACTCTAGATCATGTAGCGTTATTTGGTTATTTCACTTGTAAAGAGCTTAATAACGCCACATTGGCTAATTCCATCGCAATTTAACTTTGTCGAACAAGCTTTAGCGGGGCCTATACCATGATACCGTTGATAGTTTCACCCCCCCCCCCAAAAAAAGAAAAAAAATACAAAAGGATACCGATGATATATTTGTTCCGGCATAAAAAAGTCATTAAACCATGCTTCAATTTCAATTCTAGTACTTGCTTGTTCTTCAAAAGGTAACATCATATACCATGATAAAAGGTAATAGCCATTCATTTATCAAATCAATTTTATAATAACCAACGGTTTTTGACAGTTACATCGAACTCGACTCACTTGAATGAATGGAGTTAAGTTAGATAATATAGAGGTAAACTCTTCAAAGAATTTTTTATGCGCAAGATTCAGATTCAAAATTTCGCTCAAGAGGAATTAAACTCTAAATCACGTGAACCAGCTGTGAATTGCAGGTGTTTATTAATTTATGAATGTAATATTTAGTGATTATGTATCAGCAAAGTCATCTTTAAATTTTCAAAACCAAATCAAATTAACTTCCATTGAACGTCTTAAGAAAAATTAATAATGTTAAAATAAAGTGAAAAAAAAAAATAACAGTTTGACTTTTTTTCACCGATAAACAGCACTGAATCATCAAAAACACTTGACCCAAATTAGCAAACCAAGCGGCACTTAAAAGTGCAAAGAAGTTTATTGGCCTAAAAGAAGTACAAGGGAGTTTCAAGCCATCTTAAAGGCCTTATTAGTTATTAGCTTTAAATCAATTTTAAAATTGTTTCAAACCAGAAACTATTTCACCAAAAAAAAAAAACCAGAAACTACTAGGGAGCTTTAAAATCAGTCAGATAAACCAGCAACAAACCCCAATGCAGGCATTCAAACTGAACCAAACATACAATCTCATTCTGGCTTTGTGAGTTTGTTTGATTCGCCTTGGTTTCTGAGCACCTCCAACCCCTGTCCTCTTCAATTACCATCGAAAATCTTCATGGTTGGTTGGTTCATGAATCCATAAGACGATCCATTACCAGTTTAACAACAGCAGGAGCATCAACTGTCACAGCTACTTTGACAGATGGTTTATCCGACCACTCAGTAACTTCACCAAACCTGGTTTTACACCAAAGAAAGCATATATACAGCTATAAATCATTTAAGGGGGGAATGCAATGAAGAAGATAAAACTACAATAGAAGTATGATCTAAGAAGCACCAATACATTAAAAAGGTGGCTTATATCAGTACCTATACTGTATCTATGCATTGGGATTGTGGGACTTTTTCGTTTGATATATTTCAGAATGTTTAGAAATACATTTGTGCATTTAGAAAGATGTCCAGACATATCGAAACAGCTCAATAACCCCAAAAGGACCTTTGGGAGAATTTCATCTCAGTAAATTTATATTTTTATTCATATCTTGTCATGGACATCTTATTTTACATCTGAAATCCTCCTTAATCACCCTTTTGCTGAATTTATATAGTATTAGCTAATACTTATCATTGGATGGGCCTACATATATCAAAATTAAATAAGATAAATGGTTTTGCCCTGAATTCTCGAGGGACAAAACCTCATGGTGATACTTGCCTTTTTTGCTTATTATACAGAATCGTGAGTCCCCTCGTGATGCCATTAGTTTGGACTCTAACAGTACCCTCTGCGTAAGTTAGGAGTGAAGGATTAACAGCTGCAAGAAGGGTCGTTGGGTCATGTAGGTAAACGCCTGCATATAAATCAATTATAATTAAGAAGATCATGGGATCTCTCAGTTCTTAAGCCAATCAACAACACAAACCTGCAGTGTCATATGCCTCAAAATGATAAGAGAAGTACACGTCCAAGATTTTGTTCAGGTATTGTGCAAATTTGCCTTTCGAACTTGCCAACTTCTCTCGATCAGCAGCTATATAGACATTGGTAACAAAAACATAGATGAATGATGTTTGCTATAGCATTTTTTCTAATCTGATTATATCGTTCAGACTGATGCCAAGTTCTCATCAATGGCCAAGAATGTATGTTCCAAATTTTAGGTAGAAGTGTAGAACGTCAAATCTTATCACAAGCCCAAAAACCAAAATGTCATATGCTGACTCTATGTGGACAAAGGCGCAGTTCCCAGCAAGAAAAGAAATTACCTTAATTGCCTTGAACTCATAAATCATGAGTTTGGGCAATCCTTTAGGGTTCTTCCAGCCAACTTCAAATCCCCAAGTTGCCTTGAGAACAGTTTTACAGTGAGCATCCTCCCCTTATAATTACTTACATGACCTAGGTTCACTGAGACTATAGATGGGTTGACTCCAACTCATAGCCTTCCTTAGTTAATGTGAGCAAAAACTCAGCCTTGATGGGGAAAAGAAAACATATTTTGGTGCTTTAGGAGGAGGAAACATTCAACATAAGCGCACCGTGGGAATGACAAAGAACTAGAGAGATGGAAATAAGGCTTCTTCACTGCAGAAACTCAACCTGTGAAGCTAAGCATATGACAAACTAAGGGTGAGCTTGTAGCAACCCTATAAGAACTGGGCACATGTCTCTTCAAGGATGTCTACCAAAACCTTATTACCAGCCCTACTTCCTTAAAAGCTGCATAATTTTCATAAACACCAATCCATAAGGTCGCCACTTCCAAAGTGACATCCTCTATCTTCTAACTTGGTTCTCAGTATCAAGCACCTCCAGGAAGCTGGGATTGACCTTCACAACTAACTTGGCTAAAAATAGTCCTAATGAATCCCTCAAGAACACACATTCACAAGAGAAAGAAAGAATGAGAATTCTGAGCAAAAATATCAAGACCAAGCTTGTATTGCTCCTCTGTTCTTTGTAGCTAGTACCTACTTCCAATCTCAATCCTCGATTATTGTTCCCTCCTTTATCATCATTGAATCCCCATCCAGTCTGTTCCCAAAACTGGTTTGTACAAGTTTATTAGAAAAATAGAAATTTGGATACTTAAGCGTTCAGGACAAACACAGCTTGTTCATTAGAAAATGATGGGCACAGTTCTGTCAAATCGTCCGTTAAAAAAGTGAATTTTTTTTGACAGTGACAGGACACTAGGACTAATTCATTGGAGAAGACGTTCACAAGTTCAATTAGACCGGGATATTAGTTGACAATCTCTCGAAAAAAAGAAAAAAAAACAGTGGCCTTAGAAACATCCATATGGAGTGTAACCTGATTAGTGATAAAGGGTAAATCCTGAAAGAAAAGGCCCAAAAGGAAAAATTTAAATTGTTGATGAAATTCTTTTGCAAACCGCATAGGATTTGTACAAGCAAAATTATCAATGCAATTACAGATAAAAGTTTATATAATTATAACGGAAGAGAATGAATTGGAATTTGCCAAAGGGTGTACCTGTCAGGACAACCTGGTGCGTAACATTTATCCCTACTGCAACAATGTCTGCCCCACTTGTGAATACAACATCCGCAGCATCTGGGTCGCCAAATATCTGAAACCGAATATGACCAGTGAATGAAAAAATTTCAGAACAGTAAGAAGCGCAGGCAGAGAGAAGCCAACAATAATTTATACATTCAAGAAGTAATATTTGGACTTTCAACACATGAAAGAGAACTCACATTGGCCTCGGCAGCTGGATTTACATTGCCATTCACTGCAAAAGCACCGCCTAGAAGAAAAATCTGGCCAATGTTTTTGGAAAAGTCGGGATCCTGTTGGATAGCCTATACGAAGAGACATTTTGTCATTAAATAATGAAATGCGTAAAGGGTAGCAAGAAAACACAAGATCATCCATATATCAGACCAATGCAATATTTGTAAGCGGACCCAATGCCACTACAGTGACTTTGCCAGGATTAATCTTTGCTTGTCGAATCAGAAAATCAACAGCTGATTCTTCAATATGCTTTCCTTTAGGTGGAGGGAAATTTTGGTTGCCAAGCCCATCCGCCCCATGGACAAAATCAGCAATACGAAGCTTTGTTCCTTTCTTAAAGAAATGAAGATTAAGACAATAAGAAGTATAATAAGTACAATAACACACAAATTTTAAGCTGTTATTGAAAGACCAATGCAATATTTGTAAGCGGACCCACCACTACAGTGACTTTGCCAGGATTAATCTTTGCTTGTCGAATCAGAAAATCAACAGCTGATTCTTCAATATGCTTTCCTTTAGGTGGAGGGAATTTTTGTTGCCAAGCCCATCCCCCCATGGACAAAATCAGCATACGAAGCTTTGTTCCTTTCTTAAGAAATGAAGATTAAGACAATTAGAAGTATCATAAGTACAATAACACACAAATTTTAAGCTGTTTATGAATCCTGTAAATACTAGTATTACACTTCGTTCCTTCTTTCTTTCTATTGAGGGGTCCAATTACATCGTACTCGGTACTACTCGCAAGGAACAAACAAGTGGTAAATATCTAGTTACGATCATTGTCGAACAGGTAACTAAGTCAGCATATATTCTTCAGTCATTTAAGATACTGGGGAATCAAATGAAGCCGATGGTAATGGTAGTTGGGGAATCAAATGAATTTAAGGGCACACAAATCAGTGATCGCATAACAAAATCAATCTGACAGAGAGGAAGTCCTCACAGTTAATGTAACATGGGAGCCTTCAGCCACTGGTATATCAGTTCTCCCTGCAACCTCCAACTACAATGGACATA